CAGTACTGACCCTCCGACAGTGCGGCACTCCCTCAGTACTGACCCTCTGACAGTGAGGTGCTCCCTCAGTACTGACCCTCCGACAGTGCGGCTCTGCCTTAGCACTGACCCTCCGACAGTGCGGCGCACCCTCAGTACTGACCCTGTGACAGTGTGGCACTCCCTCAGTACTGACCCTCTGACAGTGTGGCACTCCCTCAATACTGACCCTCTGACAGTGCGGCGCTCCCTCAGTACTGACCCTCCGACAGTGTGGCGCTCCCTCAGTACTGACCCTGTGACAGTGCGGCGCTTCCTGAGTACTGACCCTCCGACAGTGCGGCGCTCCCTCAGTACTGACCCTCCGACTGTGCGACGTTCCCTCAGCACTGACCCTCCGACAGTGCGGCGCTCCCTCAGTACTGACCCTCCGACAGTGCAGTTGTAAGTTCTTTTGGTTTATGTATAGAACAACAGATACCCGGGAGGGAGTTACAGACTGGAATCTAATCGAGGGGTTCAGGGTGGTTTATATACAGAATAACAGATACCCGGGAGGGAGTTACAGGCTGGAATCTAACCGAAGGGTTCAGGGTGGGTTATATACAGAATAACAGATAGCCGGGAGTGAGTTACAGACTGGAATCTAATCGAGGGGTTCAGGGTGGTTTATATACAGAATACCAGATACCCGGGAGTGAGTTACAGACTGGAATCTAATCAAGGGGTTCAGGGTGGGTCATATACAGAATAACAGATACCCGGGAGGGAGTTACAGACTGGAATCTAATCGAGGGGTTCAGGGTGGGTTATATAAAGAATAACAGATACCCGGGAGTGAGTTACAGACTGGAATCTAATCGAGGGGTTCAGGGTGGGTTATATACAGAATAACAGATACCCGGGAGGGAGTTACAGACTGGAATCTAATCGAGGGGTTCAGGGTGGGTTATATACAGAATAACAGATACCCGGGAGTGAGTTACAGACTGGAATCTAATCGAGGGGTTCAGGGTGGGTTATATACAGAATAACAGATACCCGGGAGGGAGTTACAGACTGGAATCTAATCGAAGGGTTCAGGGTGGGTTATATACAGAATAACAGATACCCGGGAGGGAGTTACAGACTGGAATCTAACCGAGGGGTTCAGGGTGGTTTATATACAGAATACCAGATACCCGGGAGGGAGTTACAGACTGGAATCTAACCGAGGGGTTCAGGGTGGTTTATATACAGAATACCAGATACCCGGGAGGGAGTTACAGACTGGAATCTAATCGAGGCGATCAGGTTGGGTTATATACAGAATTACAGATACCCGGGAGTGAGTTACAGACTGGAATCTAATCGAGGGGTTCAGGGTGGGTTATATACAGAATAATAGATACCCGGGAGGGAGTTACAGACTGGAATCTAATCGAGGGGTTCAGGGTGGGTTATATACAGAATAACAGATACCCGGGAGGGAGTTAAAGACTGGAATCTAATCGAGGTGTTCAGGGTGGGTTTATATCCAGAATAACAGATATCCGGGAGGGAGTTACAGACTGGAATCTAACCGAGGGGTTCAGGGTGGGTTATATACAGAATAACAGATACCCGGGAGGGAGTTACAGGCTGGAATCTAATCGAGGGGTTCAGGGTGGTTTATATACGGAATAACAGATATCCGGGAGGGAGTTACAGACTGGAATCTAACTGAGGTGATCAGGGAGTGTGGAGCTGATGGTGGAGGAATGGTGCAGTTTGGAGAGTGGACGTGTTGAGGGGAGGCAGGACAGTTTTTGTAGCTGCCGAAAGAGATGGAAGGGAGTATGGAGTGCGTAGTGAGTGTGAGGGAGGAACTGCGTGTGTCGTGAGGAGGTGGGTGGAGGGGAGTGTGTAGTGTAGGGGGAGTGGGAGCGGTCTGTGTGTAGTGATGGGTAGTGGAGGTTGGAGGGAGAGTCTGGATGGGGGAAAGGGCAGAGTGCGGAGGAAAGGAAGGGAGGTGTTTGCGGGAGGAGACAGAGTGAGGGATGTTGCAGAGTGGAGGGAAATGGAAGGTTTTGCATGAGAAGTCAGTTTGAAATGAGGGAGTTGGGGGAGGAATATGGAGGTGGAGGGGGAGGTAGATGGAGGATTGTGAAGCATAGGGAAGGTGCAGAGTGGGAGAGAGTGTGAAGAGTTTGGGAAGGATATGTGAGGATGGAAGTGAAGGGATGAGTGTGGAGTGATTGGGATTGTCCAGGGGAAGGAGGAGTTTTGCCAAGGGGAGGGAAGAGTTTGGTGAAGGAGGGAGGATGTGGATGGGACAGAGGGAGGGACAAGTGAGGAGTATGAGTGGGTGCAGGAGGAGCGTGGAGTTTATGGAAGGAGGTGTGTGGACGGGAGGGTGCGTGGAGGGATGGGAGGGTGGGGGGAGAGGCATGTGGGCGGTGTGGAGGGTGACGGGAGAGGGTCTGTGGAGGGGAGGTAGTGTGGATGGAGAGGGAGTGTGGAGGGGACGGAGGATGGAAGGAGAGGAGTCTGAAGGGGAGGGACTGTGGATGGAAAGGGAGTGTGGAGGGGAGGGAGGGTTAAGGTAGAGGCATGTGGAGGGGATGGAGGGTGGATAGTGGGTGTGTGTGTGTGGAGGGGATGCCTGTTGGAGGGAGAGGATCTGCAGAGGGGATGGAAGGTGGAAGGCGAGGGAGTGTGGAGGGGTGGGAGAGTGGAAATAGAGGATATGTGGACGGGATGGTGTGTGGATGGGAGGGATGTTGGAGGGAGACATAGTGTGTAGGAGACGGATGATGGAGGGAGAGGGTTTGTCGAGGGGAGGGAGGATGGACAGACAGGGAGTGTGGAGGGGACAGAGGGTGGAGGGGAGGGAGGGTGGAGGAAGAGGGTGTGTGGAGGGAAGGGAGGGTGGAGGGAGAGGGTGCGTGGAGGGGACAGAGGGTGGGGGGAGGTAGGGTGGATGGAGAGGGAGTGTGGAGGGAGACGGAGGGTGGATGGAGAGAGTGTGTGTAGGGGACAGAAGTTGAAGGGAAAGGGTGCGTGGAGGGGAGGGAAGGTGGAGTTGGAGGGAAGGGAGGTTGGAGGGTGGAGGGGACGGAGGGAGGGAGGAGAGGGAGGGTGGAGGGCAGGGAGGATGGATGGAGAGGATATGCATAGGGGAGGGAGGGTGGAGGGACAGGGTGTGTGGAGGGGAGGGAGGGTGG